AATCAGCCCCAGACAACGGGAAGCCCCTTCCAGACCCCGCAGTTGAACCCTAATGCAGACATCTTCAGTCCTGCCAAAAGTCACATTCCAAACATGAGTGTCAGCAATAGGGGTGATCTAGTACGAAGGAATCCACAGGAATTCGATGGGAAGGCACCATGGGAAGCATATAAAGCACAATTTGAGCTCCTGGCAGAAATGAATGGATGGAAAGACGAGCAGAAAGCAGTGTATCTGGCAACGAGCTTGAAGGGACAACCACTGGAAGTACTTGGACAGTTGTCAGCAGACAACAGGCACAACTATAGAGCACTGATCGCTGCTCTGGAAATCAGGTATGGAACTCAAAATCAGTCCGAGGTCTACAGGACTAGGTTTAGGACGAGAGTCCATGCTAAAGGGGAGAGCCTATAAAAGCTGGCACAGGATTTGGAAAGTATGGCACACAAGGTCTACCCAACTGCACCACCCAATGTCCTCAAGCTGTTCCTGAGGGATCAGTTTATAGACGCCTTGGACAGTCCACAACTGAAGATACAAGTGAAGCAAGCACACCCCTCTACTATACAAGATGCAATGGCCAGAGCTTTGGAATTGAACTCCTACGTTAAGTCCAGCACAGAAGTACCAAGGTTGGTACAGTCATCAGGATTCAAGTCCAGAAGAGGGCAGCTTTCAGAGAAGTTTGAGGGACTTTGCTGGCAATGTAACAAAAACTGGGGCACAAGAGAGCTCAATGCCGGCAACTTCAACACAGAGAAGATGCCACGGCAGGAAAGGCTGCTACCCAGAATGGTTGTTGGAACTGTGGAGAGCAAGGACATATGAAGAGATAGTGTAAGAAGAATACTACCAAAAAGTCAGCCTCAAGGAGACCAGTAGTGGTTGGTGTTGAAGGACGCCCACCAGCCCCCATTGTGAAAGTCCCAACAGCTAAGTGTAAAATGCCAAGCATACATAGTGTCTATGTGACAGGAAAGCTGGATGGCCAAAAGTGCAACTTTATCATAGATTCTGCATATCAGCAAACCCTTGTGTGTATCAAGGTGCTAGATCACAAAGGAGTACCAGAAGCCATACAGAAACTCTTTGGTGTGACATGACATTATGCAAGGTTGTGGGGACCAGTGTGGGTAACTATTGAGCTCATGGGCATAAAGGACAGACACAAAGTATACTTGGCTAACATTGAAGACCCATCAATATTAGGGTTGGACTACTTACTACCGAGGAAATGTGTAGTTAACATTGATAAAATGACGTTTGGGAACAACAAAGGCCAAATTCCAGTAAGTATTGCTGCATCTGTTGATTTGCGTATCACAGCACTTAAGTCAACTACAATACCCCCCTATGTCAGAGAAGATAATTTGGGGTAGAATAAAAGAACATCCTCAAGGAAGCCCAATGATGTGGAAGCAGTGGAAGACCCATCCAGGCCAGCGGATGTGAAGATTGGAAGGTTACTTGTGGCAGGTCATCAAGTATTACCCATAACAATGGCTAATTTCTCTAAATCTGAGCAGACACTTAAGGAAGGGGCATTGTTGGGTGTGTGCCAAAAGGTAGAGCTAGTCAATGTTAAGGCAAGAAATACAATCAAAAAGAAAGG